GGAACACAGCCGGAGCTGAGTCCGGAGGAGGAAACGTAGGGCCGAACACAAGAGGAGAGGAGGGGAGACCAAGAGTCCGAAGGCCAGTAACAGGGGGGCTCCGGCTACTGCTGCTGCTGCTGCTGCTGCTGCTGCTGCTCTCGCTGCAACTCCAACCTCTCACGCTCCACCCGCTGCTGAACCTCCAACCTCTCACTCTCCATACGCTGCTGCTCCTCGCGCGCAAGACGAAGACGGGCCTGGTGTCGAGTCGGGTAGGGGTGAGGAGGAGGAGTGGTGTCAGGAGACGACGAATAAGTACCGGCTCCACCCTCGACAGGACCCGGCTGAGCACCCCCAGAGCGAGTACCCCCTGCGGCAGCACGACCAGTACCTGTAGGAGGTGTACCCGCACCCCCAGTCGTGGTGCCTCCAGTGGCACCAGCACCAGCCCCAGACTCTCCAGCTCCAGAAACACCACCAGCTCCAGCACCACCACCAGCTCCAGCACCCTCGGAACGGGCAGCTGCGGCAGGTGCACGCTCAGCGCAAATGCCAACACCCCCAGAACGGGCGGCTCATGTAGGTGCACGAACAGCTCTAACGCCAGCACCCCCAGAACAAGCACCGCCAGAGCCCTCACCTCGAGCACCAACACCCTCAGAGTCTGCAGTGGCCGGTAGAGGAAGCGCTGGCGGCTGCTGCGGAGGCTGTGAGGACGACTGTGGGGAAGGAGGAGAGACCTGGGGGGGTACCGAGGGGGGGGGAGTAGCGTGGGACACACCAGACGGAGCGGGAACAGGGGGGGGTACCGGAGGAGCAGGGGCGGGAGGAGGAGGAGCTGGAGCCAGGAAGAGGGGAGGGGGGGGAACCGGGAGACCTCGACAGGGGTACCTGACGTAGTAGGGGACGGACTCGTCGAAACGGACATCACGAGAGTCAAAGAACTGGTGGGAAGGAGGGTGGTAAAAGGTAAAGTCAGAGGAGAAACCAAGGAAGACACAGGGGACGGCGCGAGGTGAGATCTTGTCCGCAGAGGTGTCGCGGACAAGAGCCAAGCAGCCCCAGACACTAAACCTCAACTCACCAAGGCCAGAGGTTCAGCTGGTGAGCGACGTACCGAGCCGCGTAGGGCAACAGAAAATAGGGTGCGCGGGCGTGGATCATGGAGGTGCGGGCGATCTCCATGACCAGGCCTAAGCGGCGCTCAGCAACCCCATTCTGTTGTGGAGAATCTGGAAGAGTCCAAGAATCTGGCAAGAATCTGGGTGATGCCCTGCTCAGCACAGAATCTGGCAAGAATGCCGGAGCGAAACTCACCCCCACGGTCGGAGTGGAGACAACTGACACGACGACCTCGAGTACCCTCGGTGGCGAGCAACCACCGGATCAGCGTAGAAGTCACGTCGGACTTCTTCGCCAAAGGGAACACGGTGGTGTACCGAGAGTAATCGTCAACGACCACCAGAAAGAAACTCTCCCGCTCAGGGCCAAGGCGGGGAGCGGGGCCCCAGACGTCTAAGTGTAGTGTCTGGAAGGGCTTGGTGGCCGGACGAAGGGAGGAGGAGTGGGGGGTGGCGCGCAGCCGACCCTGGACACAAGGACCGCACGGAGGAGCTGGGGACGGCGGGAGTGGCGGGAGGACTCGGGGGAGGCCTAAGACAAGACGCTGACTGGACATAGCGCGGAGACGAGGGAGGGAAGGGTGACCAAGGCGGTGGTGCCAGAGGAGGGAGGGGTGGGCAAGCGACCGACACGAGCATGACGCAGCAACTACACCTAACACAGCAATCTGAGTGGACCCGGCTACCTGGTGGGACGGAGGAACCTGACGGGGGTCGGTGCGGAGGGTGTACAGACCGGAGCCCGGCTCCTGGCGAAAAGTGGCCAAGGGGGCGTACGTGTCACCATCCACACAGACTGCGGTGTCACCAGAAGGCTCAACCCAGACCCCGACGTGCTGTCTCGCCAGGGTGCCCACACCAACCAGGTTCCTAGAGAACGTAGAAACGTGGAGGCCAGTCAGGGAACTGGAAGGAGCAGCTGGGCACGTGGCGTGAGTCACAATGACAGGTCCCGAGGAGGGATCAGCTAGTGCTACAGGGACAGGCGCCGGTAGCGGAGAGAGAGTCGTGCAGTCGCGGAAGAAGCAGTGCGACGCTCCTGAGTCCAGTGTGAAGGAGAGAGACGCGTCCGCCGAGGGAGTACCTGTACTAGTAGCTAAGCAAGATCCTACACTAGCACCTACTCTAGCAACAGGCAAAGATCCTAAGCTAGGTACAGGCAAGTACACAGATCCAGGAGCACTATAGTCAACATCAGCATACATGGCATAAGACCTAGCATCATCCATAGTCATATCAAAAACAGCAATACCACGAGCAAGCAGCGTCCCCCAGCGTGGCGGCGGGGGAGCGGAGGGGCCGTGGTGCAAGCGGTAGAGGTCGTCGAGACGACTGAAGCAGCGTGCAGCAGAGTGGTCGGGGCGGCCACAGTACGAGTCCCTACGTGGACCTGTAAGGATCCAGTACTCACAGGGACCAACGTCGCGGCCGGCCGAGCGCGGTCCCCGACTGGAGGGGGCGCCACTGCGCCCAGTGCTCGGGGGACCCGCAGACCTCCACTGCAACTGAGGGCCCCACTGCTGCGGAGGGCCCCACTGCTGAGGCTGCTGCTGTGGCGGGCGCTGCTGCTGCTGTCCCTGCTGCTGCTGCTGTCCAGGCGGTGGCAGCTGCTGAGAAGTCGGCTGCTGCTGCTGCTGCTGGAACCCCTCACCACCAGTGAAAACTCCACCGTCGAGAGGAGGGCCGTCAGGGCCCGAGCCACCCCCACCACCACTCCCACCACCTGCCCCACTGCTGCCGCCACTACCCGCACCACCCCCAGTACCCCCGCCGCCCTTCCCGCCCTTCTTGCCGGCCTTGCCACGTTTCTGTCCGCCAGAGACAGAAACAGCCGCCGTCTCCTCAGAGGCAGAAGACGTGGGGGTGGCAAGTGAGGCAGTGAAGGTGGGAAGCTGTGGTACCGCACACCCCTCAAAAAGACGAGGAGGAGGCGCGGAAGAGGCAGAGGCAACAGTGAGGAGGTTACTCTCGATCTTCGAGAGAGCGGTCTCAAGAAGATCGATGGTAAGCTCAGTGGGGTGCTTCAGAAGAAGCGCGTAACTGGCTGTGGCTAGGCGGTCAGGGAGGCGAGTGACTAGCCAGTGAATAGTGAGCCACATAGGGGGCGGGGCAAGGGCAAGCTGGTCCTCAGTGCAAGCAGCGCGAAAGCGAGCGTCAAGAGAGCGCAGGTGGGTAGCGAGGTCAGAGACAGTTTCAAAGGAGGCGAGGTCTGGGCAGATAAAGGGTACGAGGAGGCGACTGAGCGAAGCAGAGGAGGGAGTGGAGTAGCGAGCAACAATAGCCTTATACAGATCTGCAGCAGACTCGACCTGAGCGAAGTGGACTGCCTCTGTCGGCGGGAGAAGGTCGGTCAGGGCGAGGCAGGCAGCGGCGTCACGAGACTCCCACACGTCACGAGCGAGGAGCTGGCGCTGGTAGTCGGCCTCCTGCTCAGAAGTAGGCGGTGGGGTAGTGGGCAGCGGCCGAGGCTGCGGAGGGGCGGTCTGAGTGCCGGACGCGTGTGCGAACAGGTGCACGCCATCCTGCCGCTGGCTCTTAAGGTGGCGCTGCGCCTGCGTAAGCCACGTACTAAAATCAATAGGTCTCCCCTCAGGGTCAAAACGGAGTACTCGGGAGGTCGCCATAGGAGGCGAAACTGAGAGAGCGAGGCTGCCAGCCGCGGGAGGGGGAGACAATCAGTAACGTGTGGGCAAGCAGGGAGGCATGCAGGTGGGTAGGTGGGCGGCGCAGTGGGCTGGCTGGTGGGCGGCGCAGTGCGCTGGCTGGTGGGCGGCGCGGTGCGCTACGGGGCGTGCGGCGCGGCGTACTGGGTGGCGGGCGGCGCGGCGGGTCGACGGGCTGGCTGCGCAGCTGGTCGATGGGCGGGCGACGCGGCGCGCGGGCCTACGGGCGGCGCGGCGGGTCGACGGGCGGACTGCGCGGCGAGGCGACAGGCGGGCCGACGGGCGGGCCTACGGACGGGCTAGGCGACGGGCGGGCCTACGGGCGGGCTAGGCGGCGGGCGGGCCTACGGGCGGGCTAGGCGACGGGCGGGCCTACGGCCGGGCTGCGCGGCTAGGCGACGCGACGCGCGGGCCTACGGGCGGCGCGACGCGCGGGCCTACGGGTGGCGCGACGCGCGGGCCTATGGGCGGGTGGCGCGGTGGCTAGGGGACGGGCCGCGCTGCAGGTCGACCGGCGGCGTGGCGCGTTAGGGGGCAGCTGGCTGGCTGGCTGGCGGCTTAGGGCTTAGCGCACTAGCGCGCTGGCGTGTGTGGCGAGCTAGGGAAGGAACGAAACCCTAAACCTAGGGCCTAGGAGCGAGGAACCTAGCTGATACCATCTCAGTAAGTGGCTACAGCGGAATGAGTTGCATTAGACGGATTGGGGTACATATTCCTACCTAACCCTAACTGTTTGTACCCCCTACTGCACAACCCACTAATGGCTAGAATATTTGACAGTGTACGCCTTATTGAGGATTGCAATTTGGTACCATGTTAGAAATAATATTTGACATTTTACAAGCGCATGCACTTAGAAATTTAATTCAAATAGAAATACACCCCGGCTTTAATTATATACGCACCTACGCTTATACCGGGGTGATACGGTATAGAGGGTATATGTTTTATTGCATATTGGCATTACAGAGGTTAGGTTTTAGGGAAAACTTAGTACGGTACATGAAATTAGTATATACAGTTTTAGTTTCAACATTATCTTACACCGGGCGTGTCAAACTATATGTGCTGCATATTGTCTAGGCTGTAGTGGGGTAGCCCATATGGGGTACAACCCAATTAGGGTTTACTTCTAACAGGGCGATGATGCGTAGGACTGAAGTACCAGTACATATTTCCTACAGGCTATATTTCCTAAAATACATAGGCTATAGGTTTTAGTACTCATATCACCTTAGCCTACAGTTGCAGAGCTGCTGTTTGATTGATGTAGAAGCTTGTCTGTCTGTGAGACCCATCTATGAAGGAGCGTCTTGTTGAATTGGCTCCTGTGTTGCCTAATGTCCTGCTCAAAGCCGCGACTTCCCCCGCATGTGATGGATCCAGCTAGGAACATGTCGGCATGTGCGCACAGCAGCTTGTCCAATATTGCCACAATGCCTGCATGTACGGAAGAGGCAGCACGGGAGAGCATTGAATAGGTGGGCAGCATGGATGGCGGAAGGGAGAGTAGCTGACAAGAGAGGAAGGGGCGGTGAGTAGGAAGAGGATGAGGGTTGGCATGGCACACCGGAGAAATCTGGGTAGAAAGGAGAATGGGCATGACACAACGAGGTAGCTCTCAGGCAGTCAAAACTTGCAGTGGGGCTGCCACCCAAACGTCCAAGCAGCGGGCCACCCAAGTTAGCTACCCGGCGTTGCAGAGTGCACTGACCGGGGTCATACTGGTTGACAGCAGGCAAGAGCTCGTCCACCATCACTGTGCCGGTCACCTGCTCCCTCAACCACCGCAGCTTCTCCCGCGTGGCCTCCAGCACCCTCTCTCGGCCTTGGAACATCCAAGTGGTATCTCGCCACGAGTCCGACCGCACCACGCTGCCCGCCTTGTCGTCAAACGGCACGTCGGCGGCGATGAAGACGGCGGAGATGTTGTGGCGGCGCTTCATGCCGTTGATGAGGTCGCGAGCTGCCTCCATGCACCCCGTCATCAGCTCATCCAGCACGCCTGCCTCCACTTTGAAGCCTCTTCGCACTAGCTTGTGTGCCTGCCATGTGGGTGAGGTGGCATTAGGGCAGCAGCGGAACGCGGATTCAAATATCATGCGCTGGCGGTCAACCTGCTTGTCTGCTAGGTTACTTGTTTCTAATGTCGTCAGTTTTTGCCTCTGTTGTCAACTCACGAGGTGGAAGGCGATGAACTCACGAGGTGGAAGGCGATGAACTCACGAGGTGGAAGGCGATGAACTCACGAGGTGGAAGGCGATGAACTCACGAGGTGGAAGGCGATGAACTCGGAGCGATAGTGCACCGCAATGTACTGCGGGGGCAGGCGGGCAATGGCTTGTTGCGCCATGGCGTGCCACTCCCGGCTGTATGGAAGCATCTCGAAGGAGATGTCGTCTGTGGGACGGTGGAAGGCCACCCGGTCGTATGTGGTCTTCACCCACACCATCACGTCCCTGTGCCGCCTGCACCCATGCAGCCGTGAAACGCACAGCCGATGCAGGAGTAGGCAGAAGGGAAGGAAAATCGTTTGCTGACAAGATGTAAAATGCTATGGTGTGAGGGACGGTGTGCAGTATGGGAGAATCCAAAATTCCACCCAGCTAGGCTGCTTCATAGGAGACTCTAAAGTCATAGGCATTTAGCTTCCAAAAAATCAATGAGTTTCCACCCATGATAGAAGAAGATATGCCATGAGACACAGAGAAATAAACCCCTCTATAAGACAGGATGCTTGGACGGGCCATGCACTCATCGTGCTTCATATCGGAAAGAGGACACAAAGAAGGCACTAAGCATGGAATGACGCACCACTGATGCAACTGCTGGAGAACTGCACTGCTGCTGGCCGGCAAAACGACATCAACAGTGTTGCGTCTCGAGGGTGGATGGCCCATGCCATACACCATCAGCTCACTCACCATGTCCACCAGAGGCCCTGCACACCGAGGGGCAATCATAGTCCTTTTTTTTTGGTTTTTTTTTGCAGAATGACTGTCAGATTATGGAATAAAACAGTCAATGAAAGAGAGTGAGGAGAGCATGACTATGAATTGCAACGTCAATGGAAACATTTGAAGTTGGCATTTGATACTTGCTGCACCTGCAGAAGGAACTTGGAGCATGCTTCGGCTGCTACGACTTGCCTTGAGTGAAGGTCATCCGCCACACTTGGGAGGTCTGCAGATGCACGAAGGCCACGGAAGGGCCGGCTTTAGCTGCAGAAGCAGCAAAGGGCGGGGTGAGGGCGGCTCTAGCGAGGAGCAGGAAGAGGTCGGGCGAGATCCAGTGGGCGTCGAGGCGAGAGAGATCGAAGTAGGCGCAGAGGGGCAGCGCATGGGCGAGTGAGAGGCGGCTGCGACTGGCCTGGTGTGGTTGCGGTGCGAGACGAGGGGGGAGAGAGAGTGGGAGAGAGGGCGGGAATCATGAGCACAAGAAGTGGAGGGCAGCAGAGAGGGGGAACAGGAATGTGCAGAATGGCACTTGGGAAGCAAGGGAGTGGCGCCTTGGGAAGCAAGGAAAGGGAGTGGCGCTTCGGGAAGCAAGGCAAGGGAGTCACCTTGGGCAACACGAGCGTGCGGTTGGTGGCTTGGGCGAAGCGGGCAGCCTCCACGGAAGAGGACACCAGTCAGGCGCCATTGAGAATATACGAGGAAGCAACATAGGAGTCGGCGCCAGTGATTGTTGGTAGAACTTTGAAAAAAAGGCAAGTCAATGGAGTCACCTTGGGCAACACGAGCGTGCGGTTGGTGGCTTGGGCGAAGTGGGCGGCCTCCATGAGGTGAGAGCGCGTGTTGGAGAGCTGCTCTAAGGAGCAGGCGAACACCAGGAACTTACTAGCTCTTGGGAACCAAGGGAGTGGTTCCTTGGGCAGCCCAAGGGTCGTACCTTGGGCAGCACCAGCGTGCGGTTGGTGGCTCGGGCGAAGAGGGCGGCCTCCACGAGGTGAGAGCGCGTGTTGGAGAGCTGCTCCAAGGAGTAGGCGAACACCAGGAACCTGCGCCCCCTGGTGGCCTTTGGGGGAGGGGGGGGGTGGGAGAGAGGAGGGGTGGAATGCAGGCAGTTGGAGAGCTGTTCTTTGGAGCAGGCGAATACAAAGGAAAATGCGCCCCCTGGTGGCCTGAATGGGGGGGGGGGGGGAGAGAGGAGGAGGGGGAGGGAGGGGTGGGTGGAATGCAGGCAGTGTGCGGCAGGTGGGGGAGCGATTAAACTTCTCTGTAGTGCTCGTGCGCCCTGGTGGACCTGGGGTGGTGAAATGGAGAGAGTGAGAGGGGAGAATAGGGGGGAAGAGCTGCTGATTCGAGTGGAAACTGAGGCAGGTGAGCGGGGGATATTATAGAATTCTCAGCAGTACTTCCGTGCCGTGGTGCGCCAGGTGGGATGGAATGGAGGGTGTGTGGAATGAAAAAGGTGAATGGGGACGAGCAGGGAGGAACACAGAGCTGCTTTTTAGAGTAAGCAACGTGGGGAAGCTTGCGCGCTCTCGTGGACTAAGGGAAGGGGGGAGGAGGGAAGGAGCGGAGGAGAAAAGAGGGAGGAGGATAGGGAAGGAAAAGGGGAGCACCATGACATCAGAGAAGGGCATGTGAGGCACAGGCCAGCACGCCTCAGGCCACGTGCTGCACTTTGCTGTTGCTGCACCCTCTCCTCCTGCCCCTGCTTCTCCTGCTCCTGCTCCTGGCCGTGCTCCTGCTCCTGCCCCTGCCCCTGCCTTTGATCCTGCTTCTCCTGTTGCCCCTGCCTCTGCTCCTGCTCCCCCCTCTGTTTCTTCTGTTGCCAATGCTCCCGTCTCTCCCTCGCTGCCTGCATTCCCCTTGTCGCTGCACTCGCCGCTCAGCCAGGCCTCTATCTCGCGCACCCCGCGGCACACGGCATCCACGCCGGCTTCTATCCGCGCCAGCGAAGTCACGTTCCCCTTCAGCGCCCTCGCCACGTACGCAGTCGCTTCTGCTCGCGCCATCGCCGCCTTCCGCCAGCCCGCGGAGCACAGCAGCGCGGCAGAGTCTGCTGGGCCGGCGGTAGCAGCAGCACCACCGCCACCGGCAGCACCAGCAGGACCGCCACCAGCAACAGCAGCAGCAGCAGCAGCAGGAGCAGGAGCAGGAGCAGGAGCAGGAGCAGCAGCAGCACCATTGGCAACACCACCAGCGGCAGCAGGAGCAGCAGCGGCAGCAGCAGCAGCACCAGCAGAGTCAGCAGGCGCGCCCAGAGTCTTGTCAACGGTGCTGGTGCCGCCATTGGCGCCGGAGGTGGTACTATCGGCCGTACGGCGCGTATCAGGGCTATCAGCGCGGCTATCAGCGGGGCTGTGAGCTTCCCGTGTGAGCTGAGCGTGGGGGCTCGGCTGCTCCGGCGACTCCGCGGCCTGGTCGACCGCCTCGGCCTCTTTCCGCCTCGCTTCCGCCGCCCACTGCTGCAGCACGTTCCGCAGCTCCGCTCTGCACGCCGCTGCCGCGCGCTCCTGCGGCGGAGTCAGCGCGGGGCCGCCACGAACTGTGGTGCCGTTGGGCGGGGAAAAGTGGGCGTCTCTCATGGCCGTCACGCACGAGTCGGTCAGATTCTTGAGAGGGAGAGTATTAATAGTAGGGGGGCGATCGCGGACTGCGGCGGTACTGTGGAGGTCGGTCAGATTCTTGAGAGGGAGACTGTCACTACTAGTAGTAGAGGGGCGATCGCGGACTGCGGCGCTACTGTTGAAGGTGTAAGGAGCGGCGTCGGGCGACGACGGCGCGATGAGTCGATGGTAACAGACTCCAATGAGGCACGAGAGGATGACCAGTAGCGCTAATGAGCGCAATACTCGTTCTACGGAACCACATGTAGCGAGTCTCGCTGGAAATTTTTTAGAAGCCATGATTGACACCCGGCTTGATTCCCGCGACACTCGCGCATCTCTCATAGCAAGACTAGGTCATTCGCCACTGCTACTCTACTAACTTTCCGGCAGTCGTGCCGCACGCGGACTTTCGGAGAGTTCGCGCCGCCCGGCGGTGGCCGGCCAGAAGCACTCACGCATCGAGGCTTGTATTCAGCTGTTGCTAGCCGGTTCTTTCGAATCATCGCAGCAAAAAACCGGCCCTTCACCGCTTGAAAGCCGGCCGGCGATACACAGCAGATCAGTGATCTCAACATATCGAACACAGGGAAATCGTTGATAAGTGTACTCAACATATCGAACTCGCTAGTTGGTGATCTCCGTCACCAGAAATGCAGGCTGTGCTGATGAGGGTATGAAAACGGGCGGTTTATAACGGGCTATAACGGGCAAGTGTACGATACTCTGCGATGGGATGTCTGTGCTGTGCAACGGTGTTGTTTGTGCTTAGGTTTCACGATTTTGATTGGTTGCGAGCTGTGCTTTGGTTGGCTGTGATTGGCTTTGATTGGGGAAGCGGAATCGTGTTCGGGTTCAGCCTTGGCGGAGAGAATGACTCCAGTGGCCAATAAGGTGATTCACCATCCCTCGCGTGGCCACGAATGACTCGAGTGGCCACCAAATTTGGTGATAATGACTCGAGTGGCCACGCCAGGGGATTCTTGCTGGCTTTTTTTTCTTCGGCGCATTACCCTACGGGGGTTTGTAGCCCCGAATGTTTGTCCTGGTTATTGCGCGATCATTTATATTCGAATTTTATGTTCGTGACCCTATATGACCGCGCCTGACCGGACGCGCATATAATCGACCAATCATGCGCGGCTTATTATTCTCGCGATCATCATATACTGTAATGCCCGATCATGTGTATATTTCCGCGATCATAAACTGCAATGGGTCAGCGCGGGCAAGAAAAAAAATAAACCCCATACGGAAGGCATGCCGTTAGGGAGCCTCAACCCTAAACTTTTAGGGTTGAGGCTCCCCAGTGGCGTGCCGTAAGCCATGAGTTTTATTTGTTTTGCCCGAACATATAGTAATGGTCGCGGGCATCATATATTAATGCTCGGTCATATATTTCCGCGAACATGAACTGCAATGCCCGGGCGTCATTGCGCGGGATTTAATGGCCGCGAATGATTGGTCGATTATATGCGCAGTGCCTTTTATGGCAATGCGCATCCAATCAGGCGTGGTCAGATAATGTCAAGAACATAATTTTCGGATAATGAAAATCGCGCAATAATCCGTACAGAAGTTTCGGGGATACAAACCCTTGTAGGGTAATGTGCCGGGTAAAAACAAACCGGAAGGAATCCCCTGGCGTGGCCACTCGAGTCATTATCACCAAATTTGGTGGCCACTCGAGTCATTCGTGGCCACGCGAGGGATGGTGAATCACCGTTTTGGCCACTGGAGTCATTCTCTCGCCTTGGCGACTTTACTTAATGTTGGGGGGGGATGTCGGGTAGTTTTGCAGGAGTTCAGTAAGGTATCCTCGTGGTTCGTGGTAAGCTAGTGCGATTTGGTTTGGGAGGGAACCTTTTTTCTGACACGGCTCCTTCAGCCTGCTTCACTGGTTCGTTTGCTCCTCCTAGGGCTGCATCATGTGGTTACCTCACACGCAATGGGAAATTTGCAACTTCGCACGTGCTGATAACCAAGTTCGCTTCTCGATCGTGCGAGGCGGTTCTTATCACGTGCGAAACTCGCTCGCTCGGTGGGAACGTGTTACTGCGTTGGCCACCACTGGTGGAACGCAGCCTTCCTCGCTCCGTTCCGCTTCCCCGTAAAATACCTCAGGTCTGTCCTTAGTTCAGCAAACAGCGAACTACGGCTTACTCAATACGCGTTTCCCGCCAGGCTGGCTTGATTATTCCGCTGCACAAAAGCTACTTGTAACCTAGGTAAATGACATATTCTAGCTGTATGCGTGTGCTGCGGAGGGAACAGTGGGTTGCAACGTCTCGAAACGTTCGCAATAGTGCAGGTAGTTCCGCTGAACAGATATTCCGCTCGTTCGCGTTAGCACTACTCGTCGGCTCGTGCCTCCTTCGAGTATGTCACTCGTCGCCCGACTTTTCCCAAAAAAACCTCACCGACGATCCATTCGTAACCAATCCCCTCGCCGACATTCGATGTCAACCAATCCTTTCCTCGCCTCAGGCTCCTCCCAATCAACCTGGCGACTTCACGACGATGAGCGAAAACTGCGTGACGGCCTTGAGAAACTTCCACGCTCGCGCCTTCCCGAACGGCCGGCGGCCGGCGCTGGCTCCGCCGCAGCGGCGCGCCGTAGCCGCGTGCAGACGGGAGCTGTTGAGCGCGCTGCAGCAGTGGGCGGCAGCAGCGAGACGAAGAGAGGCCGAGGTCGACTGTCAGTGGCCCACTCCCGGCGGCGGGGAGTCGCAGAATCTGTGGGCGAGCCCACCCTCTCAGCTCACTCGCGAATCTCATATCCCTGCTAATATCCCCGCTGATAGCCACGTTGACCCTGTTGCTGCTGCTGCCGCTCCTGCATCTGCTACTGCTGGTGCTCCCGCTGGTGCTCCTGCTGCTGCTCCTGCCCTTGCTGCTGCTCCAGCAGACTCCGCCGCGCTGCTGTGCTCCGCGGGCTGGCGGCGGGCGGCGATGTCGCGCGCTTCGTCGAGCGCGTACGTGGCGAGGGCGGTGAGGCGCAACCTGACGTCGCTGGCGCGGATAGAAGCGGGCGTGGATGCTGTGTGCCGCGGGGTGCGCGAGATAGAAGCCAGCCTGAGCGGCGAGTGCGGTGACAAGGGTAGTAACGCGGGTGGCGAGGGTGGTCAGGTGCTGGCAACCGAAGCAGGAGGAGCAACAGGGTCGGGATCAGGATCGGGATTAGGAGCAGGAGCAGGAGGAGAAGCGGGAGCAGGAGCGGGAGGAGAAGGCGCAGCAGCAGCGAAGTGCAGCACGTGGCCTGAGGCGTGCTGGCCGGTGCCTCACATGCCCTTCTCTGATGTCATGGTGCCCCCCTTTTCCTTCTTTACTCTCCCTCATTCCTCACCCTACTGTCTTCCTAAGGCTTCTTCTCATCTGAGCACGCCAGCCTCCTCACCTTGCCTATTCAATCAAGCGCCTCTCAATACTCCCTTCACCCCTCGCCTCGCCCCTCCCCATCCCCCGCCCCATTTGCTGCTCCCCCTCCATTTCCTCGCCCCGATGAGCAGTTCTCCGTTCCTTCCTTCCCATCCCCCCTCACCTGCCCCATTCTCCACTCCCGCCCCCCCTACCCCAGGCGACCAGGGGGCGCAGGTTCCTGGTGTTCGTCACTCCGACGAGCTGCTCTCCAACACACGCGCATTTCCCACTGCCTGCATTCCAACCCCCTCCCCCTCCCTCTCTCCCCTCCAGGCCACCAGGGCGCGCAGGTTCCTGGTGTTTGCCTACTCCGACGAGCAGCTCTCCAGCCCTCCCTCACGTACCGCAATTCCCTCTCGCTGCATTCCCCCACCCCCCTCGTTCCCCCCCCGTTCCCCCCCCACCCCCCCAGGCCACCAGAGCGAGTCAGTTCCTGGTCTTCGCCTACTCCGACGAGCAGCTCTCCAGCCCTCCCTCACGTACAGCAGTTCCCTCTCGCTGCGGTCCCCCCCACCCCACCCCCCCAGGCCACCAGAGCGAGTAAGTTCCTTGTGTTTGCCTACTCCGACGAGCAGCTCTCAAGCACTGCCTTGACCTGCCCCATTTCCCACTGCCTGCATGCCATCCCCCCCCAGGCCACCAGCGGGAAGAAGTTCTTGGTCTTCGCCTACTCTGACGAGCTGCTCTCAAGCACTGCCTTGACCTGCCCCATTTCCCACTGCCTGCATGCCATCCCCCCCCAGGCCACCAGCGGGAAGAAGTTCCTGGTCTTCGCCTACTCTGACGAGCTGCTCTCAAGCACTGCCTTGACCTGCCCCATTTCCCACTGCCTGCATGCCATCCCCCCCCAGTCCACCAGCGGGAAGAAGTTCCTGGTCTTCGCCTACTCTGACGAGCAGCTCTCCAGCACCCGATCTCACCTTGCAGAGGCCGCCCGCTTCGCCAAAGCCACCAATCGCATCCTCGTGCTGCCCAAGGTGCCACTTGCGTGCTGCCCAAGGTGCCACTCCGTTTCGTGCTGTTGGCCAAGGTACCACTCCGTTTCGTGCTGTTGGCCAAGGTACCACTCCGTTTCGTGCTGTTGGCCAAGGTGCCACTCCGTTTGTAATGCCTGCAGGCTTACACGAAGGGTTGAAACGCAGCCAATGCGCCTCTCTGTAGGACTTCACTTTGTCATTCCCTTCCTCCCGTCTTCCCCACTCCTCTTCCTTTCACCCCAACCCCCCTCGCTCCCTCCTCCACTTCCTCACACCGCAACCACACCAGGCCAGTCGCAGCCGCCTCTCACTCGCCCGTGCGCTGCCCCTCTGCGCCTACTTCGATCTCTCTCGCCTCGACGCCCACTGGATCTCGCCCGACCTCTTCCTGCTCCTCGCCAGAGCTGCTCTCACCCCGCCCTTTGCTGCTTCTGCAGCTAAAGCCGGCCCTTCCGTGGCTTTCGTGCATCTGCAGATGCAACAGTTGTGGCGCATGCCTTTCAGTGAAAGCAAGTACCATCGGCCAACTCTTGTCCCAAGTGCCCGCTCACGTTTCGTTTAACACTGCCATCCCTAGTCCTGCTCTTCTCACTCCCATTCATTAGCCATTCGCTCCATGCCATGGCATTGCATCCAATATTTCCTGGTCAGGAGAATGCATAAAGGAACGCAATTTTGTTGCAACTTGGTGTGCAGGGTCGCTGGTGGACATGCTGAGTGAGCTGATGGTGTATGGCATGGGCCATGCGCCGGCAAGGCGCAACACTATTGACATCGCCATGCCAGCCAACAGCAAGGCGGTTTTACACCAGTTGCATAAGTGGTGCGTCATTCCATCTGTACAAACATGCTCACTGCCATCTGCATGACCCCTTTCCTTACATTGTTTGCTTCTTGCTTTTGGTGGCCTATGGTCCAGGTTTTGATTTACCTTACGGGTATGATATGTCCACGTCATTGCTGTCTGCTGCATCTTTTCTATAACTACTCCATACCTGCAGGCGGCACACAGACGTGCTGGTATGGGTGAAGAGCACCTTCGGTCTGGTGGATTTTGAACCTCCCACAGAAGCCATCTCCTTTCAGATGCTTCCGTACAACCGAGCATGGCACGCCATGGCGCATCGAGCCATGGCCCGCCTGCCCCGCCGCTACATTGCGGTGCACTACCGCTCCGAGTTCATTGCCTTTAACCTGGTGAGTTCATTGCCTTCAGCCTGGTGAGTTCATTGCCTTCAACCTGGTGAGTTCATTGCCTTCAACCTGGTGAGTTCATGGCCTTCAACCTGGTGAGTTCATTGCCTTCAACCTGATGAGTTCATAACCTTCAACCTGATGAGTTTATAACCTTCAACCTGGTGAGTTCAATGCCTTCAACCTGGTGACTTCATTGCCTTCAACCTGGTGAGCTCATTGTCTTCAACCTGGTGAGTTCAATGCAGGTGAGCTTATTGCCTTCAACTTGGTGAGTTCATTGCCTTCAACCTGGTGAGTTCATTGCCTTCGACCTAGTAAGTTCATTGCTTTCAACCTGGTGAGTTCAATGCCTTTCAACCTAGTGAGTTCAGGTTGAAGGCAATGAACTCACCAGGTTGAAGGCAATGAACTCTCCAGGTTGAAGACAATGAACTCAAGAGGTTTATTTTATATTGTTATGTCGAAATAAAACAATCACCTCACCCAACTTGCCTATGTCATTGAGCAGATTGAAACTGATTCACAAGTCATTTAGAATTGCGACTCGCTGCTGCCCTAATTCCACTTCACCCACCTTGTAGGGGCACAGATTAGCAAAAGTCGGTTACAAATTGGAGGCAGACGTGCTGGAGGGGCTCATGGCGGGGTGCATGGAGGCGGCTCGCGACCTCATCAACGGCATGAAGCGCCGCCACAACATCTCCGCCGTCTTCATCGCCGCCGACGTGCCGTTTGACGACAAGGCGGGCAGCGTGGTGCGGTCGGACTCGTGGAACGAGACCACGTGGAGGTTCCAAGGGGAGGAGAAAGAGAGGGCGCTGGCAGCCCCGCGGGAGAAGCTGCGGTGGCTGAGGGAGCAGGTGACCGGCACAGTGATGGTGGATGAGCTTATGCCTGTCGTCAACAAATATGACCCTGGTCAGTGCATGTCCCTTGGGTGGGTGCTTGCTTGGGTGGCTGTTCAGGTGGCTGCTCTGTGGCAAGCTGTACCTGCCAGGGACTTTGTCCTAATCCCCTTCTCCTTTCTCCCATATTATTCTGACAAAGTGCATTCAGTTGATTCCGTGTGCCATCCCTACCCTCGTCCCGTTCCTACACACGTCGTTTTCCTGTATTGCCTTCTACCACTCCCTTCCGTCCCCTCGTTTTTTCTGCCCTCACACAGGCATCGTGGCCATACTGGACAAGCTGCTGTGCGCACACGCCCATGTGTTTCTAGCTGGGTCCATTCTGTGCGGGGGGGCTCGTTCGTTTGAGCTGGACATTAGCAACCACAGATTTTACTTCAAACAGACTCTTCACGACAGATGGTTCTCAAATATCAGATTGCCAGACTAAATGGGTTTGGGTACTGCTGGTGTGTACAGGTCTTTGTAGGTCAGCAAATACAATTTGATATATTTTATCGACCAGATTACATGAAGATGCACTATTGTGGGCCCTCCTACAATATAGGTCTTCGCTTGGATATAAGAGTGTCGAATTGAATATAATGGGTGTTCTTGCTTATAAAAGATCTGTGTGTGTGTGTGTACGAGTTAAGACATATGTCTCTTATTAATGGGCGAAGGTTTAGGGGAATTCCTATAAAGAAGGGGGACCTTCTAGTCTAGACAAGTGTTAGTGCATTAACAAGGGTAAATTTTTCATACATTGAGCACTTGCCCCTTCTATCTACCTAGCACTATTTTGTGACACACTAGCAGTTGTAGGCTCCAGCACTACCAACTCTAGCACTTGCCAACCATGCTTGGCCGTTTGCCCAGGCTCGATCAGGCCGTCAGCTTCGGCCGCCGCTCCACGGTAGCAGGGGGTCTCTCGGTACAGCAGCTCCGACCCGGTTGCCACGCCAACCTCTGTCAGAATGTGATGTTTGTCTTGCCTATAGTGGGGTACTCTATAGCGAGTATAGCCCAAATTAGGGTTTGCTATATGTACTCAACTGCCTGCTAGTGCAACCCCCATTCCTGTTCTAAGCTTTTGCCTACTGTTTTGACATGCTATCAGAGCAGGTCGACCCTCCTGGGTCGATCCAGTGGGTGGTCCCATCCGATGCTTCCGCTGCTGTCCTGTCTATCCCACGCCCTGAGCGCGTGATGTTTTCTGCTTGCCGCGCGCTCAGGGCGCGCGGCGTTTTTTCTTCCCGCCGCGCGCTCGGGGCGCGCGGCGGTTTCCTGCCCCGTCGACCCGCGCGTCGCCCCCCGTCGACGGTCGCGTCGCCCCCCGGAAGCCCGTCGCGTCGTCCCGCAGACCCCGCGGGTCGCCCCCGCTGCCCCGTCGCGGCGCCCTGGGGAGCCGCGCGCGGCCCCCGTAGCCTCGTCGCGACGCCCTGGGGAGCCGCTTGCGGCCCCCCGCTGCCCCGTCGCGGCGCCCTGGGGAGCCGCGCGCGGCCCCCGCTGCCTCGTCGCGACGCCCTGGGGAGCCGCGCGCGGCCCCCCGCTGCCCCGTCGCGGCGCCCTGGGGAGCCGCGCGCCGTCGCCCCCGCTGCTGCCCGCGCTCCTGCCCCGTGCTGCCTGTGTTAGGGTTTGGGGGTGGCGAGTGTGGGGGTGGCGAGTATGGGGGTGACGGGTGTGTGCGCCGTCCCCTGCTCCTCCTCCTCCTCCGTCACCCACTGCTGTAGCTGCAGCTGAGGGGGGTGGATGTGTTGGAGCCGTCGGAGTGGTACGAGGGGGGTGGCGTGTGAGCAGTGCTAGAGGTACAGCAGGGGGTGTGTGAAAGGGGTGTGGGACAGCTGGGGGAAGTTGAGTGGAGGCAGCCGCCTTGTCGTCCGCAGCGCTTGTAGTCCGGGGTTTAGCTAGCTGCGCCTGTGGCCGTGTAGTCCGGGGCTCTGCGCCTGGTAGCGACAGTGCTGCGCACTCCTGGGAGCACAGCGAGCCAGCTGCGCCTGTCGCCGTGTAGTCCGGGGCTCTGCGCCTGGTAGCGACAGTGCTGCGCGCTCCTGTTGCCCGTGTGTCTGCAGCTTCAGCCGTCGCCTCCCATCTTCTCGCCCCCGCAGTTTCTCCTCCTCCTCACTTGCCCTCTGTGATAGCATCTAGTTTTGCATATTATTGTGAACTACTGCTCTGCCTGTTTGTTGTGCTGATCATACCCCACTTTGACTATGTAGGTGTGTCAGAATGTGATGTTTGTCTAGCCTGTAGTGGGGTACTCTATAGCGAGTATAGCCCAAATTAGGGTTTGCTATATGTACTCAACTGCCTACTAGTGCATCCCCTCTTTCCTGTTCTAAACTTTTGCCTGCTAATTTGACAACCTCCCTGACGCCCTCCGCCTGCAGCTCCTCTTCCTCTGGAGCTTGCCCAAGCAGGCATGTGTTGTCGCCTATGCTCCCCCCCAGGCACATGTCCCCCGGGACGTTGGTGGTGCTCATCGTGCGAAGGTGAGAAATGACCAGGTGGTTCTTCATCTCAACGAGGTTGCTCGAGATTCGTTAGTGCATGAACACGTCGATGATGACCTCGGTTGGAACTTGCTCCCATGCCTCCGCAATCCATTATAGCACTATGTGATACGGAGGCCTTCTCAGATCCCCTATGGGGGGTTGAGTCAGCAAACGTGTATGGCAAATTAAGGTATAACAAGGGCTAAGCGACAAGGCAGGGATGGTGTACTCACCCTTTGGCGTCTCCAGGTTGATGCATGAACCACCTGGTGTAGCGTGCTCTTACTCGGGCCTTGAAGCACCAATTAATCGATACATCAAGGGGTTGAAATTGCCTGGTGCAGCCGGCAGGGGTGATGTTGTTCGTGCGATAGGCCTGAGCATGCTTTGGGTGATTTGGCAGCGGAAGGAATCCAACACCAGCATCAGACTTCTGTCGTTCTGGCCGCGATTGGGGTTGAGATGGGGCAACACCTCCTTAAATAGCCAAGTTTCCGTTGCCACCTTGTCCATCCTCTCATTATCCTGGGCTTGGACCACGACTTGAGGAAGGCACAGATTGGGATGCAATGGTTGGAACTAACTGTTAACGGGAGTGGAGTGTTGGCCCCGCCCTCGCTTGGGCAACGCCGACGACTTGGTCGGATGTATGGGAGTTGCAGCCGACCGTTCACAGTGGGAGAGCTCCTCGACATGCTTCGTCGAGCTGCAGGAGACCGCTGTGGTGTTGCTGTCGACCAGGAAGTTCGACAGCTGCAACGGAATGGTCTGGGCGACGGGTGGGCCGTCGACCAGGAGGGGCAGTTCGACCGGGAGGTCGATGGAGCAATCCGTCGACCTACAGCTCGACCAGGAGGTCGACGGAGCTGCCGGTCGACCTACAGTTCGACCGGGGAGGTCGACGGAGCAGCTGTCGACCTGACAAGTGAGCAGCAGTTGACGAGGGGAGCTCGGCGACGTCAGCTGACAGTTCTGGTCGACGGAAGGGGTCCGTCGACCAGGGGGTAGCTCGACGGGAGCTGTGGTCGACCAGGGGCGCCTAGTGGTCGACCAGAGGGAGCTGTGGTCGACCAGAGGCACCTGGTGGTCGACCGGAGGCACTGGTGGTCGACCGGAGCACCTGTCGGTGTCTGGATCGACCGGGTAACCTGCTCGACGACTTCTGTGGAGGCATGCAAACCTCGTCGAGGTCGCGATGACGAAGGCGACTTCGGGCTGGTATCCCGAAGTCGATGTGGCTCGTCAGGCGCAGACAACAGCCGACGGATGCATAGTAATGCAAGTCGGGCCAATCGTCTGCGCGCACCTGCGAGCGCGCGCACTGCTGTCTTCTACGGGGCAACGCTGGATAGCCGCCGTGCTGCAGCGTTGGAACGCCGTCGACCTGCTTTGCTGACAGGTCGCCCTTCTGCAGTGCTGGCGCGGCTCCTCTACGCAACGCTGGCACGCGGTCGACCATGCAGTGCTGGCAGTCGACCAGGCTAGCTGCAGAGTTGCTAGGTGCCTGATGTAGTCATTCTGTCATTGCTTGTTTTATTCATTCTGTAATTCCAACTTTGCTAGTGGAAACTCTTGCCGATTTCTCCCGTGAATGTGCAAGCACTAAGGAACTAAGCAAAGCTACGATCACTCCTAGTAGTTCGTGCCAACCCCCGTAGTCTAGCTCACAACCGTGGTAGTGTGAATCTCCGCATGGTGCGGTGAGCGTGGACGGCCCCGCAAATTACCTTCAGATAGGAGCCGAATTTTGCACCTACTAAGTCGTTCGTAGGCCGGCAGCAACGTTAGTCGCCATGGTCGACCCCGTTGTAGAAGCGGGCGTAGCGGACACCTTGGAGACACGCTTGGCTGATGCGAGGAGACGCCACGCGGATGGCGAGTACGGGACGATCCCTTTGACAATCGTCGAGTTGGGCATCCGGGCGCAGTGGGCGACGGATCACCCTTCCCGTCCTGCTTCTCCTCGACCGGTACGAAACGAAGGAGGCGTCGTCGACGGTGTCGACGACGGTGCTCGAGTCAGCGGCAGCGAAGGCACGAGGCAGAGAGGGGTGATCAAGGTCGACGGTGGCGTCGACAGGAGTCAGGCGCGAGTGCAGCGGTCAATGGCGGCCGCAGACATCTCTCTTGTCGACGTCGATGGTCAACGTCGCTCTCCTCTACGAAGTGGTGGAGGTCTCTCAGCCACAACGCACGTGACGATGGGTGGGATTGCTCCTCTCAGCGTATGGCTACTTCAAGTTCTCGCCGGACCGGATCACCGTCGCCCCGCTGCAAGGTCGACGGGACCTCATCACCTGGAGGGAGTCGATAGAACCTCAGTTGGAGGTCGCCGGGCTGAAGGGTTTGCCGATGGCACTGTGCCCATTCCGCCCGAGGAGGATGTCGAGCTGCGCGGGGAGTTTCGTGCTGCTCACCTGCTCACCTTCATGGTCATCTCGAGGTGCTGATTGCCGGTGGTGCAGCTAGCGCTCAGGAGGTGTTGAGAGCGACTGGATGCTGGTCACCAAGCATGGCACTTCATCCTGTCGACGTACCAGGTGAAGGACGACCTGTACATCGGACAGCTAGAGGAGAAGATGACTCACATTCGGATGGGCGAGCAAGAGTCGGCGACGGACTACTGCAAACCGTGCTCGACGTATCCTAGCTGAGATGCGGATGGCGGGCGCCGAATACTCTACATCACCCACATCGTCAAGGGCCTGCCGCGCAGCTACAACCTCATGAAGAGGATGATGATGGTGCCCGGCACGCGTGAACTCCTCGACAAGGACTCCATCACCAGCTACATCCTCTAAGATGAGGCCGTGCAGGAGGCAGAACAGCCCACGGAGCTCCTTCCGCAGCTAAGTTACGCTGCACCGACGAAGCAGAATCTTCAGCAGGAGCAGCGCGTGAAGCCGGGCGGAGGTGTTAGTGGAGGTGGACGGTCGACGAAGAACGTCGACGAGAA